AAACTTAATTAACCAGACTATGCCAATAAAATCAAAGTCAGACTTAGGTAAGCCAGAGAGAAGTCTCACTGGCCCCAGTTGTTCCCGCACAGACGGGCCTATCTGTGACATCCAACCACTTTCTACAGTGTCCTGGAGCTGATCATGGAATGCACTGAGCACAGCCTGGCACATGTGGCCCAATCACTAGATGAAGATGACAATGCACACAGGTTGCCAAAGAACAAACTTAGTTGCCCATGGATCATATGATTTTAAGAAGTCCTGTATGTGAAACAAGCATGTTCTGGTCATCACCAAATTTAACCAAGAAAAGAAGGGCAGTGCTTCCTTCCTTTGTGTTCTCCACTTTATCAAAATGACTAATGTGACCCCATCCTAATCCTACGTAATAAATTAATAAGAACACCGCAAAGCCACGATGCCAAACTTATTTAAGAATATACCATGGTCTTGGAAAGACATGCTAAAATTGCTCCTTTAATTTTTTTATTTATAATTGATATTTGGGATTGATGCAATGATAGATTAATCAATATCATGCATATTTAAAAACAACTCCAACAGTAAAATGTATCATCTACAATGATGCTTTTAATATTTCAAGGAAAAAAGATCTCTGTAAAAGCAAATCTTGGAATAAAATGTATTTCTGTTTAAATAAATGTCTATCCATAAGTTTCTTGAAAGTAGAATAATTGGACCGCAGGGTTATTAGTACTAAAAACTTTGTAAGTACATTCCAATGTGAGATAAATGCTTGTCAAAGATGTGTCTTTCTCATGGAAGAATTCACCATCATTTGGCTAAAATAGCATTATTCACTTACTAATCATGTGGAAATAGCTCCACTGAACTGTTCTTTAAACAAAAGTACAAATGCAGCAATATTGAAGGTTTTCTGATATGTGGTATATTCAGGAAAACAGAAAAAAAAACCCCTGGAAATTTATACAGTACGCCCGTTTATTGAAAATCTCAAAACCCCTTTCAAGTTAAGTTCCACTTCTTAATAATTTTTGCCACGTCATTTACCCAGCGCTACCCACTTAGCTCCTTACTAGGCTCAGCCCTGGGGTACCACCCAAATTGTGAGCAGGACTGGTTATTCAGGTCTCAATGCTGGTTTATCCCATTGTCTCCCTTTGTTTCCAGGAATTGGAAACAGACTCGCGGTCGTGTTGCTGAAGCCCTCAAAACTCTCAGTAGCCCCTTAACCCCCAACACAGCGAAGTTGGGACTTTTAAGACAAGGACCCTAGATTTCGAGCCGCGGGGCAAAGCATCGTATTTGCGACTGGGATGCACGTGCCTTACCCTGGTAGCACTTTGGGTACACTTGTCGCCAAACGAAGGCAGACCAACTTTTCTGCAAAGTTGTTGGAAACCCTCCGACAAAAACCAAATCCTACCAGCTCGGGTACAAAGTGGGCGTAGGCATTAAAAGCCCAGTCTTAGGCGGCTGGTGTACGTGTGACAGTCAATGCTTTGCCCATCTATGCATTTTCCACCAAGTGCACAGTCCACTTCTTAATCGTTGCACCCGCGAAAAGGCAGCTTAAGGAGAAACAAACCTCAGGGAAATTTGTGAATGCGACCTCACTTTCAAAAGAGTAGCTTCAAACAAGGGGTCAGCACCCCAAAGATGCGTTTGGTTCCGACTAACAAAAAGCTTACACCCCTCCCCTCCCTACCCCGCCCAAGAAACTACGCTGTTAATCTCTGAGGTACTTTCACTGAGATGTCAGGATTTTAATTAAAAGGGAAAGTGAACAAGTGGCAGGATTTTTGCAAACTCGAGCCCCCAGCTTCTGCAGCTACACGCTTAAGGATCTGTCCCTCTCGCGCGCGCCCGCGCGCTCCCTCACAGGCCCCACGTTACTTTGATTGACAGCCAGACTCCGCCGCTCTCCTTCCCACCGACCTTCCCATCCACAGTGCCAATCTCCGCGTCTCGCCGCTTCCCATTGGCTGGCTTCGGCGTCCCGCGGTTCCTCCAGGAACTGTTCCTCAGCGAGCCCGGAGGACGCGGCTGGCTGAGAAGGCTTGGGAGGGATGGGAGGGGAGACAAGGGAGACGGTGGAGGTGGAAACCAGTGGGGTTGAAGAGGAGGGGAAACGAAGCGGGGGCGGCCCGTCCAGTTGTGCGCCGCCATAGGCTCCCGAGAGGCGTCGCGTCTGTGCCCCACGTTGGGCACGACGCACGCTATTGGCTGACGCTGGACTTTTGCTCCCCCTCCCAACCTTCTCGGCCGCGTAGCTGGCCGGCTGGGTGCTCGCGCCCCCCGCCCGCGAGGGGCTGGGCGGGGCTCGCGCGGGGCTGGGCGGAGCCCGCGCTGGTTAGCTCTGGAGTGTGAAACCGCGTGTTAATGTAACCGGCGCGAGAGACGCGGGCGGCGGCGGCAGGGGCAGGAGCGGCGGCTGCTGGAGCAGCAGCAGCAGGAGCAGCGTCGGCGGGTTCCCTGTGCCCCGCGTCCCACACGCAGCGGACTACACCACCCCCACCCTTTCACGGCCGGGCGGGACCCGTGCCACCAGCCCGGACGTCCGCCGGCCGGCGGCGGCGACTTAACTCCCGCCGGCAGCCGACTGTCGCTACTACTCCTCACTCGCTTGCGGAGTTTGCCGGCCGGGAGGGAGGCGGGGCGGCGGAACTCACTCCTGCTCTCCTCGCCACCATCTCGTGGATGTCATACCCCGGGTAGTGAGAGAACTTTGCAGCGGGCTGGAGCTCCTTTTACAGAAAGGCAGACGAAGGAAGGAGAGAGGACCGAGGAAGGGGCTCGGAGGAAGGGTCCGAGGCGTCCCGGTCGGTCGTGCGGAGCGAGTGTTCAGCGGGCACTGCGCCCGGATGCGCCTCGGCCTCGCGGAGCAGTGGGTGGCCGCGGGACCACTCTACGCAGAGTAGCCGCGTCGGGCCTGGGAGGTTTGTGCAATCTCGGAGAACGTCGAGTGCGGGTCGTACGGACCGATCGGAGCAGCCTCCCGACGCTTTCTCAGCACATTCCCCTCCTCGCTGTCATTCAGCGCTCCTCGGCCGGGATTGAGGCTGTGGAGCGCTGGGCGCGGAGTCTCCACCGCGGCCCCTATCACTCTCTGAATAAGTCTCTCGGGGCCCTGCGACCGTCCGGCCGAAGGCGCGGCCCGGACCCGCGGGGGTCGGCTCCGATCGTCACCAGGTTTGCGGTACCACCTGCACCTCGCCCGCCGCTAGCGCCCCGGGGAAAACCCGGGGAGGAGGCAGGCCAGGAGAAGAGCAAAGGAAACCTGACCGTCTGGATTTGTTTGTTCGGGACGGTTGCGGCGCACGCGAATCGCATACGGGAGCGGGCTGAAATCACCGCGCTCTCACCTCCCCGCCCCAGCGGCCGAGGCCTGCGAGTTGGAGAACGGCGCGTCGCCGCGGAGGTTTTTGGTGCAGCCGGGCCTGGGGTGCCTCGCGATGTGGCCCTGAACAGAGGATCCCGCACCGGCAGGAGCAGCCGGGCGCCGAGTGTCCAGTCTGTTCCTCTGAGCGCGTCTGCGTGCGTGGCCAGCGGGCCCCCAGCGCGTCCCGTTTTTGCCTGGCTTCCCAGCTTAATTTTACTCGGCGGGATTAAAGTTGGAAATTGAGCGGAGAATTGAGTTACCCGGGAACAGAGCCGCGGCCGCCGCCAGAGCGATGTTCCCGCAGAGCCGGCACCCGGTGAGGCGCGGCTGGCTGAGGGGGCAGGGTTGTGGTAGGAGAGGAGACTCTCTTCCTCGCCGTAGGGAGTGGGTGGCTGCTACATTTTGGCGGACCCCCCTCCTCTCTGGGAGTGCAAGGCTGGGAGGTCCGAGGCCCATGCCTTTTGGAGTGGGTTGTGGGTTTAGACTCCTAATTTCCCCCTTTTTCTCTGGGCCCCCTCCTACTTGACGTCTAGATTCGAGTAGGAGTAGGGCGGGGGCGCCCTCAGAGGCTGGAGTTTCGCTCCCGCAGCCACAACCTCCCCCTTACCCGGGGCGGGTAGGACGCCCCCCCTTTTGTTTCTTGTCTCGCCTATTTGCATGTCAATGAGGCCCCGATCGGGCGCGCTTGGAGGTGGCCCCGACGACTCTGGGAACGGCGAGCGTTTGGGAGTTGTTTTTCTTTCCTGGTCTCCTGGGTCATTATTGCCCCTCGTGGGGGAGGGGGCGGTGTTATCGTCAATCTGGCCGGGTTCTTTGCGGCTCCCGTGGAGCCCCTTTTCCTGGAGGCTGGAGGAGGCTCAGAGCCTCTCTAGTAGCCGGGGGTTGGAGGAGGGTCCAGTTTCTCCCTCCCCAAGGGAAAGCTCAAACTCGAGTTCAGGACTCCGTTTTTTGCCGTTTCTAACTTTATTTTTCGTTTGTGTCCAACCCATTTCTGTGTCCTCTGATTTACTGCTTTATCCATCCACCCGCATCCCCGACCCTCGGTCCCCCTTGCCGATCGCCCTCAGACGCCGCACCAGGCTGCAGGCCAGCCCTTCAAGTTCACTATTCCGGAGTCCCTGGACCGCATTAAAGAGGAATTCCAGTTTCTGCAGGCTCAGTATCACAGGTGCGTGTCCAGCCACGCCAGGCGAATGGTCACCCGGGTAGCCCGGTGCAAGTGGCAGCGACGTCTGTACTTAGTACAGGCGTCCAGGCGGTGGCGTGTGGAGTCACAGTAAAGACCTGTCATTCATGTTACCCCCTTTCCTGGCTCTTCCAGGGCAGCCCCTTCTTGTCTTCTCCTCCCATTGTTTCCCTTTTACCCGTTTGCTGCTGTTCCGGGGAGTCTATTTTGGAGTTGCATGAGAACCATCAATATTTGCACTTCATTTATTTATTTTGCAACAGTCTGAGCTAAAACCTTGGTTCAGTTGGTGACCCAGCCCTGGAGTGCGAGTTCGGGGAAGCAAAGCCAGTGTTGAAATCACTGTTTGCCATGCTAGAGAATTGGGTGGTCTGAGGCAAAGTCCATTATTGAAAGCTAGATGCTTTTTAGCTGTGCCCAGCATTGGTAGTGAAGGTGGGGGGAGGTGGATGTGTGTAAGGGAAAGCTCCCTTGCTTTGGTGTCCTTCTGGGTTGGTTTGGATAGGAGAGGGATTGGAGTCACATTTATACCCATCTCAGCTTTAGTTTTTTATCTAACGAGGCCAACTTCATAAAGTTCATAAGTGAAAACTGTTTGTAAAGCAACCCATTCATCATAGATTTCCAGAAATGTTAGTTTCTTCTCTTGTTTCTCTGAAGTCTTAACTCTTTAGAGCTAAGAAATAACTGTATAATGACAGTTTTTATTTTTGTCATGCTTGAGAAAAAGCATACAGATGCTTCAGTGTGAATTTTCTTATTTTGTCAGAGGCTTTCTGATTATTGACCTTTTGTCTACTTGACAATAATAATATCTACTTGAAGATAACAATCTCAAGCTTGAAGCATTCCTGCCTACAGTGTGTTTAACCAAGCAGGAGGGGACTTCAGCCCACTTTATTGCAGTACCTGCTTGACATATTTTGGCATGGATTTAAAAAACAGAGGTTTTTAAAGGGATCAACAATTGTAGAAGTAGCTTTACAGTTGTTTTCAAACCTAGGGACTGTTTGAGTTGGCAGAGATAGTACAGCCTATGCCTGAGACTGAAGATTGTGCAAAGGTCAGGTTTTGGTGGAGTCCAGAGAAGCAAACTTTGATGCAGGGAAGTGGGAGTGCACAGATGACCACCAGGAGGAATCAGTCTTCTGGGTAGACCAGTTTTGACAGGTTTTTCCTTCTTGTCATCTGACCAGGTATGCACCAAGAAGAAAAAGGGTAGTAGCTGAATGGACACCCTGTATAAATACTCAATTCCTTTTTTTCTGTTAAATGCAAGGACAAAGTTTTTGGGTGTTTATCTAGATAGTTTATGGCTTTTCCAAATTGGTCTGTGTTTTTACTTGAAGTGCAAATATGTGAGGCAGATGTTAAAACAAGTGACATAATGTTTACATTAAGGTGCCTGTTTTGTTTTCGTAGCCTTAAATTGGAATGTGAGAAACTGGCGAGTGAAAAGACAGAAATGCAGAGGCACTATGTGATGGTAGGTATCTTTTTCGTGTAATATGAGCAATTATGTGTTCTTGGCATTATAAAAGAGTTAATGAAATGCTTGATTTTTTTTTACAGTATTATGAAATGTCATATGGATTAAACATAGAAATGCATAAACAGGTAAGCTTTGGTTAAATCTCAACCTGAAATGACAAATGAGTCATGATTTTTTCATACTGGCTTGTTCTCCATGGGGGGTTTGTGTGCCATTTTTCTGCCTTGTTTCCCTTCCTACAAACTGGTAGTAGTATTCTGCAGCAAGGGTAGCTTCTCGACAGTTACAAAATGTTTAAATGAATGGGTGAGAGTTGCTTTGGAATTGTAAACTAGCTTGTGTACAGGCAGTTAGGAATTGAAGCTCTTGACTTTCCTTTCCACCTGGACAGATATACTCTCCTTGAAAGATATGGGCATTGTGTAGAGTTGTTGAAGTTGAGAAGAGCTAATGTCTTTGTTTAGGTTTGGAAAGAAGTGTGGACCTGTGAGAAACTCCCATCCTCAAATCAGGTTAAACAAGGTGTATGACTAACTGTGGAATTTTCTTTATGCTTTGAGGCTGCATAAAGTGATACTCAGGATTAGTGGCTAATAGCATACATGTTCTTGAAAAATTTCTCAGTTGGTGCAGGTTTGGAGGTAAAGAAAAAAGCCTTCTTTTATGGCCACAGCATATGTTGGGAGTTGCTTCAGTCATAGTGGTTTTAAAAGCATGAAAAGATTAGTGACTGGAAAGCTCTAGCTATGACTATGAGTTTGCAAGTTCCCATAAAATTCACACTTATGGCTACTATAATGGTGTATAAAAAGAGTATTGAGCTGGAACAAGGCACTAAGGACCTCATAAGAGAAGAAAAGCTAAATGATTGCTCAGCCCAAAGGACCCTCGATTGAGTAGTCATTGTCTGCCAAAGAAAGCATTAATGGCAGGGTGTAAGTATTCTGGAGATATGCTGACATTCACTTTTTCATCAAGATGCTGGTACAATAAGTCTTTTAGAAATCGATTGCCTCTTAAAAAATTATCATCAGATGAAGTTGCACAGTTGGACACATTTCAAAGTACAACAATACAATTCTTACTTGATGTATATGTGCTATTTCATCTCAAACCCTTGTTTCATTAAATTAAAGAGCATGGCTGACCGGCTGGGGCACAGTGGAGAAATTGATTAGTTCAGCCTTCAGATCTTCCTTATATTCAAAGACTTTGATTAAGCAAGTGTGTTTCAGAGTTGAATTCTGCTTTTGTAACTCTGTACTCTTTGATTTTTAATTCATCATAGGTTTCATAATGTTAAATTATCATCTTGTACATTAGATCTGTTCTCAAATATGTGTTTGGAAAGAGAGAGTGAAGTTCAGGGCCTTTCATTGATAATATAATTGGGCCTTTAAAAATGCTGATTTTATTCTGATTTGCAGAGTTGATAGCTTAGTTTATGTTGGGTTTGTGCCTTTGTTTTTGTGTGTTTAAGTGGCCAGTGCCTGATGGAGACACTTGTAACTTGTTGGTTGATCTTAATTGGCCTGGAAGATACATGGTCATTTAAGTACATTATGCAAACAAGCTTGGTCAAGAAGTTCTAACCTGCCCAACCCTAAGGCCTCCCCCACCCTTTTCTTTTGGTTAACAAATATTCTGCAAGAGTAAGAGGTGACTAAGCTTTTTCTTAAATTCCAAAACTCAAAGGATTTAATAACCTCAGTGACTCTTTTACAAGGGAATGCCAGTTGTGTGTAATATATGCTGGTGCTGGATTTATCGGGGGAGCTACAGAGGTGTGTCATTCTTTTGGGTTCTTGTAGGTTTTATGGTGGAGTGTTCTCTTCTTTATCATTCAGGAAGAAAGAAAAAGGGGAGAAAAGAGCCAGGAATCCCCATAGTGCAAGAATAGTTTTCTAATAAGTTTCTATACTTCATCAGGCATTGATGGTCGCTGTTGGCTCAGTAATTTGAAAAATGTGAATAGCTGAGAGATGCCATAGTTTTCATAGTGGAGTATTCGGCCCCCTGAAATTTAGTTTATATTGTAAATGCTGACAGACCCTTAACTAGAGTGGTATGCAAAGCAGTACTATAATTCAGTTTAAAGTGGCCGTACATTTGAAAAACATCCTTCTGAATGTCACACATTAATAATAAGTTCTGAGGAGACATTTGGTGCAGCTAGTAATCATAATTCTTATTAAAACTGGTGACGTTTGGCCCCCAGGGTGTAGCCAGGCTCAAATTGATGCTTTTTGCCGCCTGATCACCAGCATGGCCTAAGTGCTCATTATATTGTAGAGCGGGCCTTTGGAGCTCTCATTAGATTTGACAGGAATTCTCTCTAGGGGGAAACTGGGCATTAGCGAGACTCCTGACAGGCTGAAATTAGTCCTGCTTTATGGCTTATAACCAAATGCTAGCAAGGCATCATCAGGGGACACAAAAAAATTGTCATTTCTGACAACATCTTTGTTACTGAAAAAATGCAGTGATGGGGAAATTTCCTTGGTTAGAGCTTTAATGTTGTTAAGATTTATCTCCAGTGTGACTACTGCTCTCCCTTCCTACCTTTCAGCAAGTTTGTTGAAGAAGTGCATTTTAGAGATTTCAGTGTCAAGTCTCGCCAGACTTTTCTGTGTGGGGAAAAAAAAAAGTGGAAGTGCGTCCAAATCAAGAGTGGTATAATTGTGGTTTCCTTGCTTGGTTTGGTGCCCACAGTCTCTGTTTATGTTGTGTCAACACTTCCTGATAAGTCTTCCCCTTACTTGTTCTGCTCCCATTTGTGGCTGGTTACTGAGAAGTCAGTGGCATAGAGACGGTAATGGATACTTAAGTCTTTTATTATACCATCAAGACGATTTTTTTTTCTCTTGAAACTTTTATAAATCTCTGCCTGTCCATCTCTCTCTGGGTAGGTCTTAAAATTTTGGCTCTCTATATAAGAGAGGTAGAGACTTCTCATGAAAAATTGAAGCAATTCTGATACCACTAAAGTGTTAGGATACAATAAAAACCAGCAGGTTAATGTGAGTCTGGTTGTTTTGAGGTTTGTGCGTGTTGTGTTTAGCCATGTGAATTTTAAAGGGGTTTTCTCCCGTCATGTGGCATATTACCTTATTTGATATTTCTAGGAACAGTGTACACTGTAAATATATATATATAAACATTATTTATTCCACTTGTGTATCTTTTCAGCAGGCTGATGAAGCCATGCCATGCGTAGTCATTAGTGGCCTGAATTTTTATAGCACTCAACAGTTTTCAAAGGTGATTTGCCTCATTCTGTGGAGTAGATTGGGGTGGGTGTTTTGCTCTGCCTGCAGCTGCGGGTGCGTGTTCAGAGTCGGCCTTGTCAAGGCTGAGTACCTATTGAAGCTTCAGTTTGGGTCACCTGGTCCTCAATTCGTTGTTTCTTTCTTGAGGATGAGGCCAGTGGCAGAATCATCCTTTGGCCTCTGTGTAGTAACCCAAGTCTGCCTAGCTGCAGGTCTCGCCCACTCTTTGTGTGTGCTGACCAACTTCATGATTTACACGACACGTCGGGGCTAGAGATATGTTCTAAAAGTTAAGAAAATTAGCAGTATTGGTTAATCTGTGGGGGTACAGGTATGGGTGTATATAGAAAGTGGTAATCATCCTGGCAACACTGTCTGCAGGTTAAAATAATGTCTAAGGATAAAAGAATATTTGAAACTTGTGGCCAGGACTCTTGGTTGAGACCCAGTGATGCAGTGAATTCGGTCAGTCGCTTTGTCTCACTGGGCCTGTATTCTTCTGAAGAGTAGGCAGAAGGAGCACATGGGGCTCTCCAGGGCAGTAGTGAATTTGATGGAAGGAGCAGCTCTGGAAGGGAGGGAAGAGTGTTCTGTGGTCCTGGTCTTGGGGTGGAAAGAGGAGAAAGAGGGAAAACCAGATGAGAGCTTAACATTTCCAGCTCCATGCAGTATTTCAGCAAGTATAGTTTCTCAGACCATGTAAATTTTGGAGAAGAACAGCTTTCACAATTTCGATGTGTGCTTTAAAGTGTCTCAAAAAAATAAGTTGTTCTTTAGTAGTTTTTTAAGTGTTTAGGTGGAACTGTTAGGGGTTTACCTATAGGTTAATTCCATAGATGTATTTCTCTTAGTATTTGTCTGCAAGTTTTACCTTCCTTCCTGTTTTTTAACCCATTGTGTTCTCTGTCTGCAGTTTCTCACATTGAGATTTTTATTTTCCCTAAGTCGGTGTCGTCCAAATGGAAAATGACTTGCTGGAGTGCTGGCACTTAAGAGTTAAGCTTCACCAGGTGTTAATCTTGTAGTACAAAGAGGGTAGCTGTCATCAGGATTGGAGTGGTCCCCAACCTCATTTTCATTACCCAGGCCTGTCCTTTACAAGCATAAGTAAGAGAGATAAAGCTTCCCGTGTGTCGAGAGTACAGATTCTAAACTGCAAGATTCACCTTTGTTTTTATCGGCAAGCAGGGTACGTCCTTCTAAGTTACCCTGCACCTACCCATCCTCTTCTGCAGTTGGGCTACTTGCTGGTTTCTGTCCAGAGCTGACTAAGGTGAGGTGAGTGACGATGCATTTGTCTCAGGCACAGAATTTAAGGGAGGTATTAAAAAACTTTGTACTCAAGATAAAAAAATTACTATTTTTAAAATTCAAAATTGATGCCAAAATTCCAAGGGGAACAAAATATGTAAAGTCAGGACCCAACAGGGTTGGGAATTGGGTGAGGTGAGGGAGGGAAGTTCAGAGACAGCAGAGAAGAGGTAGAATGAAGGGCCCGTGGGGAGCTGCGGGGACCTACCGGATGTACTTTGGTGTAAAACACTTCAAGTGGCCTTAATCAGGGAATTTTGTTTAGTTACTGGGCAAGTCATGAACATGTTGGGCCTTGGTTTTCCTGTCTGAAAAAGGAGGGTTTAGACAAGGCAGGTTCTAAAGTTTGGTTCATTTCATGATGGGGAGTCACACCATTCTCCCATTGGAACTCAGCACTGGGAGTGTGTCTCTGGAGGAGAGTCTTTGGTCAGAGGATTTAAGGTGTTCCTCCAAATAGTGTTTAAGAAACACGGGGAAAAAAATCTGTCCCCTTAGCAAATATTTAAGTCATCTTGTGTGGTAATTAAACTGAAGATAGATGC